ACCTTATACAGTTGAATATCCTTTATCTGAAATGCTTGGGATCAGAAATGTTTCAGATCTCAGATTTTTTAAGATTTTGAAATATTTGCATTATACTTACAGCTTGAGCATCCCAAATCCAAATTAAAAACCTAAGGCACATTTCCTTAATATGTATTAGGTACATACTATTTCCTTTGAGTGTCATGATGGCGCTCAAAATTTTTCGATTTTGGAGCATTTGGGGTTTCAGGTTTTTGAATTTGGAATACTCAACCTTTACGCTCTGTCCCTGCTTTATGCCTACCATACCCTCCCCACAGGAAGGAATTCAGATCTTAAAACTGTCATGTGCACCACTGTAACTACAGTATGTCCCAGGAGAACTTTACTCTGAAATGATCTCTGAAGATGCCAAGGAAATCAAGGGAGTCAAGTGTGTGTGCTTGTGTGTGATATGTGTGGGGGAGCTTGTGTGTGTATAAGTATGACTAAATTTTATAATAAAAACAACGTACTAGTTTTAGATATTTAAACTCTACAAATAATTTCAAATAGTAATGCTCTACAAATTACTGTTTGAACTATTTTATACCTGAAACATCTCTTATCATTCTCCTTTATGGATTTTCTTTCTAATATTTTAGTTTTTTTCTATCCACATTTTTTGCCATACTTCTCTCCTTTTTCAAATGTTTCTTCTTCTCCACTTTTATTATTGGGGAGATACTCCCTGTCCCCAGAAACTTACATAAACAGCTTCTTTATTTATGGAAACTACCGGAGATCATCATCACTTTAAGTAATTCAGGGTAAAGTCCTCCTAGGGAGCTCAGGGCAGCTGCTAGTTTGCTTATTCCCTCTGATATAAGCTTCCACACCACAGGGAAAAGTGGCAAATAGCTGTCGTCTCTTGGGACAGACCCAGCAGCAGGTCATATTAGGAGGGTGGCCATGGAATCACCAAACAGAATGTAGAAACCAGCGTTCCCAGCTTTCCAGAGTACACACCCAACTAATCAGGTTGTTCTGCCAGTCATTTGGCTGTAAAGTGACTGCTCTGCCCACGGGAGATCTGAGACTCAGCTCATCCTCAGAGATGACTCCTCTACAGTGCATCCTCTCCTCTTAGCCAGAGGTGGTTCCTCTTTGTCTTGACTCCTCCTTAGCTATGATTATTTTTCAGGAAAACAAAAGTTGTACTTCTCCTGGGTAACCTGTTTGTCTTTATTTTCTGAACACCAAATCTTGAAAGGGACCTTATTTTTCTTCTTTTCTTTGGCTGTCCAGAAGTTCAGATCTAAACTGATGTGCTCTCTCCGCCAAATGGCTGGATGACTTATGTCCATGTGCTCCTCGGCCTCTGCCATTATCTTACTATTCCATTTTCATCTCCCCCACACTTCCATTATATACTTGCATGCTCTAGCAGTGTACATCAACTGACCTGAAGTTCTTTTGTTGAATGTGGTAAAACAATTGTAAAAACCTCTATATTAATGACGTCATCTCACTAGTACTGTCAGACATAATAATGGATTTTGTATTTACCAAGATTCTGCTTGAAAGGATTGGAGAGTCTCTGTCATGAAGAATATAGGTGAAGGGACTTTGAAGGGGAACCCTGGGTCCTGTTAAAAATAACCAAGGTCTCTAGTTGGTGACCATTTATGTGATGATGTAACAACTCACTTTGTAGATGTCCCTAAACCAAAAGATACTTCCATAGATTGTTGTCAAGCTGAAAGGGGCAATAAACATAAAATCGTTTTGTCATGAAGGAGATGATATGAAATATTTCTGTACTAACTCAAGGACTTGCATTGGGTTTAAAACACGTTTTCTAGATTCTACAGGACTAGACTTGAAATCCACTTCTACATAATGTCCGCAGTCATGTTTTAGACATTTTGGTTTAAGAAGTGACTCATCTAGAATCCTGGGAATTCCAAGTAATTGAATTTGGTTGATGTTAAAATCATGTTCCAAAATATTTGACCACATCAGACAACCCATTCAGATAACCTTTTTAAAGAGATAGAATCCTATAGCTAATATTTGGATGTATTTTCACATGTGTTTGTTTTAGTCTGTTATAGATTTCAAAGTCTTGAAATATTTTCCACCCAAGTACTCTGACAATAAAATTACGTACAAGACAGAATTTTAGGAGAAAGCTAAATCCATGCAGGTCTCTTATGACACATTCATAGCATGAAGTTAGGGAAATTAAGAATATTTAACTTTCATTAAGGCACTTTGTATGAAAGTCAGGGCTGCTACTAAACAGTAGAATCATCTTCCTACAAGAAGTGCCTCCAGATCTAAGTAGGAAGTGTTTGTGAAGCCAAAAATGGATTATTTCCTAGAGACCCAGGAGAGCTTGTGAATGCTGCCATTGGTGGGGGTGAATTCTATCAGGTCCAAGCTTTAACTTGGCAGACCCTACCTCATACAAGGCTTTGCTCAAAATGTCTTAAAAGGAAATGTGCATAAAAGCAGCAGAGGAAAGAACGAATGACAGAAGAGACAGGGAAGACTAATTTGGAAAATAAAAATATTGTGTTTGTCTCCCATTGTATGTGTGTGTACATGCATGCATGCATGTCCATAATATTCAGGCACCTCAAGGTGGGAAACCTCTAAAAAGTATCGAGTCCAACCTTCTGCCTGCGCATAACTCATTTTACAACATTGTCAAGGGCTGATATAGCGTATTTCTTCTTAAATACCTCCAGCGAAAGAAAGCTTACTTTCAGTGGCTTAATCATAGTTCACTGCAACCCTGAACTCCTTGGCTCAGGTGATCCTCCCTTCTCAGCCTACTTAGTAACTGAGATTACAGGCATGCATTACCATGCCTTTTTTTGTTTTTGTTTTTAATTTTTTACATTTTGTAGAGATGGGAATTTCCCTATTTGCCCAGGCTGGTCTTGAACTCCTGGTCTTAGTAGAAAGCTACTATTTCAGAAGATATCACTCAGTAGTCAAACAACTCTAATCGTTAGAAATGTTTTCCTCGCTATCTCTCCATTTGTCTTTGTTCACTGCCCTAGAGCCAGGTACAGCCTATCTAATCCATCTCCCATAGGCTAATCCTAAATAAATATTTTAAAGCTATTAGGATAATCATGATGATGGTAACTATCATCGTCATCATAGTTGGAACTCGTAGCATTTTTTCCAGCACTTCTTGTAAGTGCTGTCCTAAGCATTTTACACTTTATCTTATACATTCTCACAACTTGATGAAAGACATAAATTACAAAAGTTCATTTGATGGGTGAGGAAATTGAGGCCTACAGAAATGAAGTCTTTTGTCCTGGGTAACAGAGGTAACAGGAAATAGCTGGGAGTAGACACAGACAGTCCCTTTCCTGGTTGTGCGTTCGTGAGTTAGACCATGGAGGATGCCTGCAAATGTATGAATGTGTTCTCAGTGGAGGATTTTGGAGACCAGATTACACCACTTGCTATAATACATAATCTCATATACAGAGTAATCCTTTTTCACCATATATTTCTTAGAGTGATGTATTTTTAGAAATTCCTTATATCACCATAAACACTATCAGAAGCCTGATCCATAGGAAATTGCAGCCCTGCAGTTCCCTTGCACTGGTTCAGTGATTTTTTTCAGATTGACCCTTCACATAATGAGGTATCTAAGTCACGAAAGTTCACTTATAGCAGAATTAGAGAAATTCTTTCCCAAGGGCACAATGCCCAACATCTAACTGCTGCTTGAATAGGTGGATGAGTGACTTACCTAAGAAGATAGTTTAGTGTCTAGATTTAAGAGCAGTAGAAATTTTGCTGTTTGCTTAAAAACACACACACACAGCCGGACTTGGTGGCTCAGCCTGTAATCCCGCACCTTTGGGAGGCTGAGGTGAGTGGATTGCCTGAGCTTGCAGGTTCAAGAACCGCCTGGGTAGCGAGACCTCATCTCTAAAATAAACCAAAATATCAGCCGGGCGTGGTAGCACATGCCTGTAATTCCGGCTACTTGGAAGGCTGAGGTGGAAGGATCACCGGAAGCCCAGCAGGTCGAGGCTGCGGTGGCCGGGAGCAGCCACTGCACTCCAGTCTGGGCGACAGAGTGAGACTCCAACTCAAAACACACACACACACACACACACACACACACACACACACACACACACACACAACTACGTTTTAACTATAGTTTTAGGTAAAGACTGCAGACATGTACCAAATTTGTATTTCTGTTTATTTGATACACATGTGCAATTGTCTTAGGTATCTTAGTCTACAATTTCATTGAGAGTAATTTTTTAGATATTATGCCTTTCCATTTTTAAGCTGTGTGAAGCACCCAATCTCATCACCACTGAAATGTCAAATTATAAATGCCCCTAACTTGTCTACAAGCTACACCTCCTGAGAAATCTGGCCTTCCATACACATCAAAATGAATTTCTGGGACTGTATATCTGTGTTTTCTAAACGTGTTCCTCACAAGCTCAAGAAACTTACTTTTCTGGACAGATGTTTTAATAAGGCCCTTTTGTTGTGCTTGTCCATCAACATGATATGTTCCACATTGATGGAAAGGAAACAAAGCAAAGCTGAAATATTAGCTGTAAGGATTCCAGGGATTAGTGAAGGGAAAAAGGAAGGACTTTGAAGAATTTTCCACCTAAGTAATTGAAGTATCTGATTCTTTAATAGAATGTTGTTTGGTCATTTTTTTAAGAAATAGTGAATGGGACACAGCGTACAAATGTATTCTCCAGAGAGAGAACTTATGGCATTTTTATCATTGTCATACTTTGTATGGTTTAGGCCAGATGTCCCTAAGTTTTAATGATCCAACACTTCAGAGATAGTTAGTATCTGCTACCAGTTCAGAAATGAGTTGCTAAGTTATTACTCATCCCCTGGGATGGAGATGCTTTCTTTCTGGTATTCAGAGGTAGCTATGGGAGTCCATGATATTTATGCATGTCTGTTTTTTATACTGCTAATGGTATTTGCTTTTGTGTTACCTTTCCTAGGTTTGCTGGGATGGGAAACCTGCTCAAAGTCCTTACCAGGGAAATTGAAAACTATCCACATTTTTTCCTGGATTTTGAAAGTAAGTTCCAAAAATTATAACAAAATGATAGAAAATTTTACCATCTTTATAGCTTGTTGATAAGATAGTTGTAACATAAAGATGTTATAGTATACTTAAGCCAAATTCAAATGTCACTATGCATTTTTTTCTGAAATAATTTTTTTTTTTTTTTGAGTTGGAGTCTCACTCTGTCACTCAGGCTGTAGTGTTCATGGCCACCCCAGCATCAACCTGCTGGGCTCAGGTCATCCTTCTGCCTCAGCCTTCCAAGTAGTCGGAGCTATAGTCAAGCACTACCACATCCGGCTACTTTTTGATTTTTATTGTAGAGATGAAGTCTTGCCAAGTTGCCCAGGCTGTTCTCAAATTGCGGGCTCAGGCAATTCACTCACCTTGGCCTCCCAAAGTGCTGGGATTACAGACTTGAGCCACCACACCCAGCCTGAAAGCATTCCTAATATCATTTTCCTTCTTTCCTATTTTTTAGAGACTCAATAGAAAATATTGTTAATGTATCTATGGTTGTCTTTGGTTTTAGAAGTGACCAGCTTTTGTAAGCCAAGCATAAATCATAATCATGTATTTTTCCTAAAAGTTTTGGAATATCACATTCCAAAGAAAAATAGTAAGCCTAGTGATTTACACAGATAAATAGAAAGCAAATATTATTACATGTAAGAGAAAAAAGTAATGAATACCAAAAATAGGGCTTATAGATAATTTTTTTTAAGTTGTCTTTATCTGGTTTTTATGTATTATTTGATTGCATGAACCATTTCAGGATTTTGAGATACACTCCTTTTATCCAACAAGTTATGCTTCTTTTATCAAAAATTTGAACATTTTTTCTTAGGTAAAATGGCTTAAGAATCATGGCAGAATAAGCCCAGAATTTCTTTCTTACTGTCTTTATTGATTGAATACATTTACAAGTGACACATTCATGTTTTATCAACTAAGCTTATGTTTCCACCTTCAATCTTGTGATCTCCCCTTTTAAAATTATAATCCCACAATAGAAAACACAGTTATAAGTCTTTCCCCCATCATTCACCATCTGTTGCACACTTGAATCTGCTTTTAACTTTCAATTTTCAAAAAAAAAAATTTCTTTTTTTATGAGTCTAAGTCTCACTCTGTTGCCCAGGCTGAAGTGCAGTGGCACGCTCACGGCCACCACAGTCTTGACCTGCTGGGCTCAGGCGATCTTTCCACTTCAGTCTTCCAAGTAGCTGGAACTATAGACATGTACTACCACACCTAGCTATTTTTTTTATTTTTTGTAGAGATGAGGTCTTGCCAAGTTGCCCAGGCTGTTCTCGAACCCATGGGCTCAGGCAATCCTCTCACCTCAGCCTCCCAAAGTGCTGAGATT